ACATTTTTGCTCTAATAAATCCAGACAGAGGCTGACTTTTGGCTAGCACAAATTTATGGCTCAGCCGCCTTGGGGCCTCCTGTTCTGGGCAAACTTGGCATTTTGTTCGGGCTTATAATTCATGCTTTAATTGGTTAAGTCAGTGGGCGCTGAGCGGGCATTTATTTATGGCGCCTTAAATGTAAAATATTTGGCGCAAAATCAAAAGATGCGCCCACCCTAAATCATATGAGTTATTTATGTGGCACATGCAACCAAAGCGACTACGAAGTTGCAATTGCGCAAGTAGGCAGCCATTTGGCTAATTATTATCGGCCCACTCAAGTCCACAGCAAGCTGGCACTAGACGTCGAATGCGTTTAAGCCTTGGATACAATTAGCCCTTTGCTTGTTACTGTCAGCTAAAGAGATTCTCCCCCAAGGACTACAGCAACAACAATACCAATTAGTCGGCTTGTGACTTGGGCCCGGGCAACCCTCATCTGGGCTTAACGAAAAATGTCCGCAAAATGTTTGGTAAGCCGCTTCAAAGAAGTGAAGTTAGGTCTATTGGGCGTTACACAAATAAATTGTGATTTAGCCCCATTTCTATGGAAGCAAACAGTGCTTAGGTACAGGTCAGATATTTTTGGGCAAGTCTGCGCCCTTGGAGAAATCTTCAACACCATTCTATAATCGCATATCTTTCAGTCTCTATGCGTCTTACAGTTTTAGTGGGTCTCAGTAAAATTCATTCTTTTCATAGGTCTTAACCCAATTAACACTTGAAATGGTTTGGTTCACGGTTAGAATTAATGCCTCACCTTTAGCCAGGCGTGGTGATATATTTTGCGCTTGCAACTACAGCTGGCGCTTCCGGAAATTATGTTGCATATTTACAGATCGAAAAAGAACTGACTAGTATAAATGGTTTAAATATGTCTTCAAGGGTATTTACACGTCGTTGGACAACAGTTTTTTCAGCTTTTTAAAAATCCATTTGTAGCTATTCGAGAAAGCACTTAAGGGAATCAGATATCGCTTATAGATACACGCAATACTTAACTGCTAACGTCCGGAGAAATCATATAGTTCTTGTCCAATAAGCGGCAGATTTTATGTTAAAAAAAAAAAAAGATATCGTTTATAAAGCCTAAAACTACTCTATAAAATCGTAAAATGCTTAGGTTTATATCGGTGACCCAGTACAGTTTTCTTCTGCACAATTTCAATTAATATGCAGATAGTCAAGAGCATGACAAAATTGTGGATTATTTTTTATAAAAAGTCTTAACTAGTCTAAATACCATCCATGTTTACATATAAAGCAGTACACTTTGAAGTACTTTTGTCTGCCCAAATTGTGCATGGATTTGAGATCTTAGCACTTAAAAGATTTTTGTTTTTTTCTTTTCTTGATTTTTTTGTTTTGTGCTGATTTGGCCTGAAAAACCATTGGAACAGCGAGGAAAATGAACTGTTTTTGTCACAGCACAAAGTCAGGCACTTTCTTTCTTTCATTCGGCCAAGTGTTTCTTTTTTCCACTCTCTCACACTCTCTCTCTCTCTCATTTTGTCACCACCTTCCACTGTCTCTGTCTTAGTGCACACACGTCAAAGGCGCTTTTTGTCTTTGCCCAAATCTGCTTCAATTTGAGCTGTGCTTTGGCCGGGATGCGTGTAAAAAGTTCTGTTGTATAAACATTGTGTGATTGTAAGAAAAACATGTGCCGCTGGCATACAAAAACATTCACATACGCACACACACACGCACACACAAAATGGAGACAAAGACAAACTCATCAAATAACGCCAGCGTGTGCATATGCGATTTTCCTGCCCCACCGTATAACTGCTCCAGCTCCTTTACATGCTCCTCAATGTGCTTTATGATGAAAAATCACATATTTTTTCTGCACATTTCACTGTGTATCTCATTGAGTGTGCGTGCGTGCGTGTGTGTGTGTCCGTGTGTGTGTTGGCATAAACTCGCTTTTATAGTCCTCAGATTAGGTTAATCCTTTCGCTGTTTGCCATTGCGATCTCTTTCGGCCTTTTGTTCTAATGTTGAGCTTCTCGTTAAGGCGCGTGTGAAAAGCCTGGCTATAACTCTTTTAGCGCCCAACAACTTAGCGCTGCTTGTTGCCCTAATGAAAGCAGTTACAGTTTATGCTGAGCACACACACACACACACACAAGCACAATATTGGCGTGCTTAATGAACTCGCTGGCAAAAAAAGAAATCAACTCGACTACGACTTGATAATCACGTTGACAGCGGCAGTTGCCGCGTTGCCTGCTGTCAACTTCAGTTGCTGCGCGACCTTTTGTAAAAGAAACCCCTCCACCCTTACACACGCATCCCCCTCAGAGCCCAACCCCATGCCGAAACAGCAAAGTTCAACATAATTTACGATGTATTAAGCGATTTTAAACATAACCTTGTTGTTGTTGTTACTTTTTTGCAACATGCTCCTTAGATAGGGCGGCAGATAAAAAGGTGTGGCACACACACACACACACACACACACACATCTGAGTATGCATGCAGTTGACATGTGTGTTGATGTTAATTAAATTAATGAAATAAATTATGAGTTGCGTCGCGTCGTGCTTTTTAAATTGAGTGCGCGCCATCTTGAAATTAATAAAGTGCCTGTTGGGCTGTGGGCGTGGCAGCCAAGCAGCCGTCTATACACGTTTGTGCAGCATTTTTTATATAACTTATTTATTTTTTTTAATTTTGCATCAAAATAAATAAAGTGTTTAAGCCAGCGACGAGAAGAGCGACGATGATAAGCCGGGTGACAGGTGACGTTGTCTGGGCCCTGATTTATGCAGGGCCATAGATGAGTTTGTAACGGTATTGTGTATGCCACAATTTATGCACCTGCTTAACATGATATGCATTTCATTACGCATACGCCACATTGGCCAAAGGCGGCACCTAGTGCAGGCAAGCGATACACAAATCTGGAAGGAAGAGTGCCTGCGCCTGAGTTCAGCTTAACGCCGTTATGAATTTCTGAGTAAATATACAGAATTTTTAAATGAATGGAAATAATGAAAGTTTTTATTAATGGAAATATGACGCCTGAGCAACCATTTTGTGTATAGTCAAAGTAAATATTGAAAAAAAAATAATATATTCATATTGAACTATTTATTTTTCAGATTCTTTTTTTCATTACGTCCGGGCAGAGATTTTAAATATATCTTTAGTTCCATAAAGCGTGCAAATGGAGAATTTAAAACTATTTACCTAACGCTGTTTCGCTTTTACTTTGATTATACAATATATTCGGCAGTTCGATTGGATTTTGAATTTGAAATATGATTTTTATCATGCCGGCCGAGCAGGGCTTACTTTAATCAAAAGTGAAAAGAAAAAATAAATTGCGAGCGCTTCAACTGCTGCGCATTTACTTTGATCTGCCAAAATTGACGACTGCTCAATGCAAGCTCACAATTGGATCTGAAATTTAAGCTTGCAATTCGAATAACATGATATTCCCATTTGTGCACACATAACCTCAAAGGCAAGTGCCACAGAGATTTTTCTTTTGTTGCTATTGTCCTGTCAAGATGAGCAATAAAAACCCCTTGATGAGAATGCAACCCATTTACAGTGCGTAACCTCAACAATAACAACTGACTACGGTGGCTGCAATGCCATGCGACTAAGTGCGATTTGCCATGCCTCTCGCCGCCATCCGACCCCTAACAATGTTGTCGCTCAGTGCATCTGCTAGACTATGCACTGACTGGTATGAAGGGGTAGACAACAAATTTTCGAATGCTGTGGCCGTGCCTAGGCAAAAGCGACTTGGACATGTCCAGTAATGGATGCAATGCAATGCAACTGCGCTCTGGCAACGGTACAACAGCAACAACACCAACAACAATGCCAGTTGCATCAACAATAGCCACCAAATTAGCCGATACACATACGCACTCACATAAAAGATTCTGCTGAATGCCATGCATATGGCTCCATTGTATAATGGACCACTACAAATTGCAGGCTAGCTAACAATACGACAGTCCAAAAGATAGAGAGAGCAAGTGTAGGTGAACGAGTGAGCGGCTGTGGGGCCAAATGTCACATACCATTTAGCTGACAGACAGCTTGAACCGCAGGCTGTTGACTGACTTTTGTAGCCTGCTTGTGACTGAGCCCAGGACAGGTGTGCATCTACAGCAGTTGAGCATAATCTGCTGCCAAGCGCGCCATTGGGCATCTCCAAAAGTGTGCAGGCTATAGCAGGGCTGGAGAGTATGAATTAATTTATTTTATGCATGTGTTCAGTTTCTATTTCTGACTTTAAGGAGCATTTAAGATTTGAGAAGACTGGGAAAATGGGTTATGATTATGCAACAGGCAGAACGAAAAACATCCGACACCACAAATTTTATACAGTGAAAGCTTCCACAACCGGACGCCCACTGTCGTGGCGCTTTTTATCGGGAAATTCACTTTGTACGGAAAAGATTTTGTGAAGCTTACGAAAATGTCTGGCTATGGGAGTTGTCCATTATGCAAGCCTTTACTGTTCATTCCTGAGCAGGACGACAAGATGAATCGATTTCGCCACGTCCATTCACTTGCCGGTTTATCTGGACTTTATTCGAATTATAGTCACTTAGAATCTTTCTAAAATATTATAATTCAAATGTCTGGGAGAATTTACGGATAGCTATATCAAGCATGTTGTATACCAGACTGTTTCGCAGTTTTAACAGAATCCAAAAAGGTATTTTTCTGTAAGACCGAACTTTGTTGCCCGAGTTAATCTTAAAATAAAAATGAAAACTTTGGAATTTTTAGAAAATAAAAAGATTATCAATTGGCTTCCATGCAAGTTCCTTCGTTTCTAACATTCATATATAAATTGCATTATCACAATATGCCAATCGAGCTGTGCAACAATATATCGTTCGATGCATTTCATCAGCTATCGCCATTCGCAGCCCAAAATTAAGTTTGTATCGATAATGGGAAAAGAATTTCAATTAATTCTCAGCATTATACAAACTGCAATGTGACATTTATTCAATAGGAAAATCAAAGTTCTAACTAAATTAAATACTAGAAATCATCATCATCGTCGTCGTCCTCGATGACAGCCAGACGCCGTCGTTTGGCCGGCTCGGTGCTGGCTGGCTTTTTGCGAGCCAGAAAATTGATATCCTCGTCCGTATCGGGCTCATCCCGTTGTTGGCCATCCTGCTCATCATTGTCGCTGCGTGGGCGTTTGTTTGCCTTGTAAGCGGGCTTGGCGCCAGCATCATCGTTGTCGCTATCCGAGTCAATTACATTAGCGCGACGTGTGCGCTGCAGGGCCCCGGAAGAGGAGTTGGCGGAGACGGGTGTCTTGATTGTGTTATTCGCCTGCAATGTGGCATTCTCTTTGTTGTGCTCCGTCTTTACTGGCAGCCCACGCTCCTTCTCCTGGTCCTGCTCCTCCTCGTGCTGCTGTTCCTTCTCCGCCGCCTCCTCCTCCTCGAGCTCGAGCAACCGCGCCTTATAGCCCTCTGAGTTGAAGTTGAGTGCATCATCGTCCTGCTCCTGCTCCTCTTCTGTTGTCGCCTTGGTTGACTCATTCAAAACCATATCCTTCAATTTGATTTTAGTGGCACGCTTAGCTTTCAATTGTTCAAATAAATCATCCGTGTTGGGCTTGCCAGGATGCTTCTGCTGCTGCTCCTGCTCTGGCTCGGACTCCTCGCTGGACACATCAGGCTTTCGTTTTTTGCGTGCCAATTTGCGCGCTATTTCATTGACTTCCTGCTCATCCGCCGAGTCCTTTTGTTGCTGCTTGGCTTTGGCCTTGCGTTGTCTCTTTCCCTTGGCCTTCGCTGGCGGCTCGCGCTGCTCCGCATCATCGTCGCTCTTGCTGTACATCAGGCTGTCCAGCTTGCGCTGCTGCTGTTCCGTTATATTCTGTGCGGCGGCCTGTTGCTGACGCCTGCTGTTCTTGTCTAGATAGTCCTCCTCATCGTTCTCCTCATCATTGTCTCCACCAGGAAGAAGCTCCTCGTCGCTGTCATTGTCTTGTTCCAGCTCAGCACCGACTACAATTTTAGCGCGCAGCTTTAGATCTGCCGCATTGAGATAACTTGGTATGCGCCAATAATTCTCCATGCCCGCCACGGGCGGTTGCATGCCTAGCGCCAGCAGCACCTTCTGAAAATCAGCCAGCTCCATAGCATCTTTTTGTATATCGAGTAGCGGCAGCAGCGGCACACCATCATCATCGTCCTCGGCCGCCTCTTCCGTATCCTCGCTGGCATCCTCCAGGCATTCCCTTAGCCAATCCAGCGCCTCTGCATACTTTTCGGTATCCACCTGAGAGATAAGGGCACGCACCGTGCCTACATCGAGGGGCGTGCGTACTCGCTGGCGTGGCTTTGATTTGGCCAATGCTTGCTTGGGCAGAGGCTCTCCAAATGTTGGCTCCTCCATGTAATCCTCCTGCTCCTCCCGCTCATCGCTATCGCTGCCCTGTTGCTTCTTGGTGGGCTTACGCCTGCCCTTGCTCGCCTTGGCGGGCAGAATCTCCGACTTGTCTGCGATAAGATGCAGCTGCAGCATTCGCTTGATGATCTGCTGTTTGTTGCGACGTTCCTCGAACGCCGCCACAATGCGTTCCAAGCAATCTATAAGGACATCAAAATTCAGTTCCAATTAGCAGCTGGACTCAGCCAACGCACCTGGCACAAAGCGATGCTCATCGTATAAGCTGCTCAGCTGCTCATCCTCCTCCGGCTGCCACAAGTTCTTGCCGCCCAGAGCCGCTTTGGTGGAGCGCTTTGTGGGCGCCTTGAAGACCAGCTCCATTTCCTTGAGTTTTTTTAGAATGCCGCGTCGTGTGCGTGTCTTGTCAACCAAATTGTCCAGAATCCAATCAATCACATCTGAAAGAGCACAAAAACACACGCACACAAACGACACACACCACACACACACATACACACGATTTGATTACAGCTGTTGCTTTTTGTATTGTGTATTGTTTTCTACTTTTATACCCTTCAAAAAAATGTTGTCATGTGTAACTCTTTGGCAATCCTCTAATATATTTATATACATTTTTAGTCAGTATTAACAATCGAGTGACTATATATGTACATATTTATATCTTATTTGAGAACAATTGGTCGAAAACGGTTTTTTCCACGAAACCTTTTAGTTTTATAGGATATAGTTATTCATCAAATTTTTTAAAAATCGGACTACTATATTTATAGCTCCTAAAGAAAAGATTAGAGAAAGAAAATCAACCGAATAAATCAGTTTTTGACATTTCAAACTATCTTTGAAAAATATCATATAGAAAACGATAGATCTTTCACCAATTTGTTTACATTGAATACTTTTTCACTTTGAAATTCCTTGAGCTTGATTATGGCTAAAAAAAAAGAAATAAATCCCTATTAACATTCGTTACCTTATGATTTGGCTTTCAAAGGATCAATCGGTTAAACTTTCCAGTTTGAAGTATTTGTTTTGATTTTCTAAGATATCCTACAAAATATACACATTATCAGACTACTGTATGATGCAGCTTTAGTCATAGTCACATATTGTTGCTAGCTGTCTGCTAGGGTATTTGAACTTCGGCAGTCCAAAGTTTACAATGCTAACTGGTTTTCTATTCGGGTGTTTTCTTTTTTCTGGTTGTCAGGCTCCGATTGCTTTCATTCATTTAGCGTAAATTGGGTTTTAATTTACAGGCAGGGGCAGTTAGAGCCCGTTGTCGTGCATTTGTCATAGTTACCCTTATCGGTTTCGGGATTCCGTTGATTCTCCTCGAATAGGAAACGCAACTCCAGCTCCTGCTCCTCGCTCCAGGCGCCCTTGGTGCCGCTGCAAAGCGAAATGAATACGAGAGAGGGCTACAGAACAAGTTCTTCAAGCTGGACGATGGCCAGCATCATTTATCAACTGCCAAACGAAACTAGTCGCAGCAGCTAAACGACAGGCGCAGACAGCGTCAGCCAAGGGCTCAGTCAATCATGCGCCCATTGTGCTGATGGGCCTTTAACCCCAATGTGACCCCCACACCGCAAGCACACAGACTCGTCCCTGGTGGTACTCACGCTTCATAGGCATCACAATAGCCCGTCTCCAGCTCGTTGGCCTCTCGTATGCCCTTGTAAAATAATAACTCTGCATAGATTTTTGGATTAGTTGGTGCCACTTCGACAAATTTGCGCACCACATAGATGCCCAGGCGGCGCAGTTCCTCCTGATGGGCGTCACGTTCCACGCTGAAGACTTGTTGAAAGATACGAAACAGCTTGGCCTGTGAAGGGAATGGGAAGAATGTCTAGAGGACAATGCCACTTCATATTCAAATGAAAAGTGCCGACAAAGACACAGCCAACAGCTGGCCACAAGTTGAGCACGGGTTGGGTTTTTTGTTGGAGAGTGGATGACGGGAGCCATCGACTGCCATCCTGTGGTTGCCGCCTGTGGTTCGGTGCCTGCGGCTGCTGCCAAAGCAAGATATCATTTGCAGTCGGCAAAACTTTATAAATGCTCAACCCCCAACCCCAATTGAGGTCCTGTGTGTTCTGTTTTGTGTACCGTTCGCCCCTTGTTGCTGTCGTCCGTATTTGAAATTTAATTTATCCTATGATTGCGCAGACCCATTAGTGGTTTTGACTTTGCATATGATGCTACTTTTGTTTTGCTTTGCCGACACCCTCCATCCCGGCCCACTCGGAATCTTCCTTGACGGACACTGGACATGTCTCCCAGTGCAACAGACAGCAGACACTGAGCCGGCTTAGATGGCAAACGATATGCAGCTGTCTGGGCCAAGGGCTGACGTGCTGTCCCTGCCCTGTCCTGCCTCTCGACTCATATGTCTGGCGCTATTTCGTCTAGATAATGCGCCATTTGTTGGTTACTTTAGTGATCAGCCATTGTATAGGGCGCACATAGCTTACAAAATACAGCTTAAGCTGCCCTCAGTAATATAATATGATGCCAGCCTGGTGCCTCTGGACCCGCGATGCCGCCGCCTGGCGTTGAATGTGATTTATGAACTCTGCTCAAAGAAAAGTTTAATTGCCAGCCGTGAAAAGCAGCAGGAAACGCGCACAAAAGAGCCGCATAAAATATATGCATATATTTAACAAAAAAGTAAAAGTTTGCGCGTAAACGAATAACAAAATACTCTATAAGAACTTTGAATGACTGCTATATGAGACTCGAATATAATATACTATATAATTCGCTTTCAGTAACTCTATACAACACAGATTGTATATATAAACTAAGGAACTGAAAATTGAAAGATATGCTATGAGATTTGCTATGCTGGCAGATTTTGTCCAGATTTTCATTTAAATTTCATTAGTTTTTCGAGCAATTTTCGTCAGATGGATGCATTTTCCAAAGTTGAAAAATAATCATCTATATATGACATTAATTTTTCAACATAATTCAAATTAAATAAAGAACAGACAACAAACACATATCCTAAGTAACGAAGTGTAATTAGGATTCGAATAAAAGGTTGGTCGTTGGAATATCCCAACCAGACTTACATATAAAATTTCTAAAACACTCATACCAATCAGAATATTCACAAGAATATAAATAAAACATCACATAGACCAGTTAGTTCGATTATATTCAATTTCCTTTTTACCCTACGGGTCTACGGGTTTTTATACCGTGATTTATATTAAATGGCAGAACAAATTGGTGCCAGGAAAATGGAAAAACCCGTTAGAAGTCTTGAAAAAGTTATCTACTGATTAGAACAGGAGTATCTGCATAAAAAGGAGAGCGCAGGTCGGATAAATTTTGGCCGCTAAAGACGTAGATCTGCTTAACAGAAGTGTCCGTTTCGCTGTGTATATAATTTCTTAAGGATGCAATTTTGAATTTCATAGCCTACAATGACTAAGTATGTATGGGGTATTTCATAGGATAATTTCCGTTGGTATCTATAATTTTTTCTTCTGGTTATTCAATTTCTTTGAAACACAATTATTCTATTAATGAATATATGACACAGCATTTTGTACAGTTTTCTAAGCATTTTTGAGAGCTTGGCCTCAGTTTGGCAAGTCGCACTTATAAACCAAGTTGCTCCATATACCCTATGTTGCGCAAGTAGCACAAACAGGCATATTTGAACGTTTAATTTCCCCGCAGTTCTCACAGTTCGCAGCAGTAGCTAAAAAGTAAAACCGAAGCAATGCTGCGGCTCAAGGCAGCGCGTAAAAGGCTTAAAAAGTTCAAATTCCAGCTGACAGCAGAAGGGCTTCAAAAATGGGACAAACAACTAAGTGAGGGGTGCAGAGAAAGGAAAGAGAGAGAGAGAGATGGTAAGAGAGGGAGGAGCTGCTGTTGTGGCAACTCGTTGAAAAATTTATAAAGAAGGCGCAGTAAATATCGTTTGTGGCTGGCACAAATAGAAAAAAGGTTCGCTTAATTTGTACAAATTACCATAAAAATGAAACCAGCGAAAAAATGGGCGCCTCAACGTTAGGCGACTGCAGACTAAAGAACGGGCAACTGGAGCCCGGAGTCTGAATGCTGGAGTCAGAAGTCATGGCTGCTGAGCCGCAGCTCGCTTTTTTGCATTTGACTTTGATTTATGTGCGCCCGGACACAGGTCCCGGCGAAAACAGAATTAAAGCAGCAGACGGAAGGCGGCAGACGGCAACACCCAGCTAAACAGTCGGCCAAAATCATTTGGCTGTCGCATTAAGAGGCCAGCAAAACACTCACCTGGTAGAGCATGCCAGGACAGGAGCAGCCATAGGCGATGCGATGCAGTATGGTGACAGCAGCTTTAAGGGCCCGCGTTGGTATCTGCGTCCAGTCGGTCAGGACCAAAGTGCAGGCGCGCACAATTTTCGGATGCAGCAATCTGAGTGGAGGGAATAAGGAAAATTTACGTATAAGCAACCAAGTTTTCGCTTCACATTTTAGACACCACATTCTCGAGGGACATGGCAAATTTAAATCTATCCCTTGAGCCTCGCGTCAGAAATCAAGTGCGAAACACTTTTCAAATGAATTTTTACAAAGATCTTTGAAAAAAGAGCTTAATGATCGATCGGATTGTAAACTCTTTTCCACAGTAACGCATTCCATGCGCCGTCATAGTCAGTCAGTCAATCATGACGACAGATGTAGAGATGTAAAACAGGGACATAGTCAAAGTAGATTTCAATTCCAATTAAATTATGCAAAATTTGAAAATTTAGCCAATTATGATTGAAGCATTTATCTACAGCAAAAACTTTGAGAAACATTTGCGAAACAGCCAAACAAAATAGCGGCACAATTTAAATACAAGTCGCAAACGCAAACTTAATGCCATTTAATAATATAATTGTTGTCGTTGTGGCCATTTAGAAAGTACACCCTCCCCCCTTCCAACAATCGTGCAGCTGTGAACGTGGCATCAAGTTTTTGGCGTCCATAAAACTTTGAGCACAAGTAATTTCTGACGCTAATCCTTAATTAGTAGCCACGAGCTGCGTGTTGGCGCTTGGTTTGTGCCTTTCAATTAAAATTACAATTACAATTTTCAACACGACCATCAATGCACAGGGCTTGGAACTTTTCAAATAACAGCAATAAAATGTGGCCAGAAAAATACCAAAAAATATAAAAGGAAAAAACATTGCAAATAGCCGGCGGCTGAGATTTAAATGGGAACTTGGCGTAGGTACAGGGATTTTGGGGACATTTGTGGCTGAAGCTAATTTACCTGCGAGCAAAATCCTCGAATTTGAACGTTTTCTCTGTGAGTCCATTATCTGCATTAGAAGGAGGAAAGAACGGTGAGGCGCATGACAGACAAATGCCATTAGTTGCGAAAACATTCACCATTTAATTTTTCAATATTCACACAGTTTCTCAACACTTGCCTGGCTCGCCGAACTCCTCGTTTTCTATTTCCTCATCGCTAGCGTTGCCCTCATTCTCATTCTCATCGCCATTTGGCTCGTCCGTGGCATCAACTGAAAAAAAAAAAAAACAGAATTAAATTAATTTTTTTACAAAGCTTCTGTATCCTATGCCCTGTACCGATATGAGATATCAGATAGGGTATTCAAAAGTTCTGCATGCGTATATAACATGTGTGTATGCATGTATGTTACATGTTACATGCATGATCTTTATAATAAAATAGGTTTTAATCTGAAGTCTAAGTACACTGATTTCAATAAATAAAAATGTTTATATATATTCATTTAATTAGTTAAAAGCTAAACTATGATCTCAAACCATCCCTAAGACTACGGTTAACTAAACCTCTACGTTTGTTAGGCTTGCAGTCAGTCTACAAGGTAACATTAATACAATAGTTCGAAAATCTCATTCTTCTGATATAATTCCTAATAAATGTAGGCTACAATATTGTCAAGAAGTGCAAATAAATGATGTTGTAATTAAAATGTTGAATACAAGGTTGCTTTTAAATAGCTCGTCCATATATACTGTGAGAGAATGGTTCAGTTTTTTTAGGATATTTATTGAATTAAGTATTTGTAATCCTTAGGCTCGCTATTCTTATGTTGTTAAACGCTCTTGACAGACTGACCCTTCTAAAAACTAATGCTTTACATAATCTTTAATATACATGGTACCTGTTGCCAAAGAGACCGTACTCCTGTGAATGCAAGGCATTGATAATGTGACATCACTATTCTACTTCAATTCTAAATACTATAAAATTATTTACTTTATTGTAATTCAAATACTTAATTTATTATTTACGTAGCTCAACAATTGCTGTGTCGAGTATTTGTTATAAATAAAAGACCAATCAATCAGCCAGTTATTTATTTTAGTGTTAATTAGTGTATATAGAAGATAATTTTAGCGAGAATAATATATGGCACATTGTAACTCTTTACTACAGGGCATCCGGGCAGAAATAGAAAACAGATTAAGTTTAGTTTCCAACTGCATCTTTTAAAGCAGAACAAACCCCAATAACATTTCACAGAGCATTAAGAAAGTCAGCGTTAATTGTGAGTGCGCCCACTTATATACAGGGTGCTCACTGAACGAATTACTTCAATTGTGAATCATCGCCTGAGTGGCTCGGCTCCACCTCAAATGAATTTGTACTGATTTAAGACAGAACAACAAGCGCTTGCCAAATGGCCATTAACAATAATTACGACTGCAGCAATGCACAAACAAGTGCACTTCAAATACACTCCACCCGCACATATATATACATAGACACAACCAGCAAACACAGACACACCTACACAAAAACACACAGTCACTTGCTAACAAGCAAACGTGAATTTTGAATAAGCAGCACTCGACTGCTAAATACCCAGTACACAGCAGGTGAAGTGCTGAAAATAATGACAACTGTTTTGGTATTTGCTTTTTCTAAGGATTAATATAAAATAATTCTGTTTCATATAATTGTAATATGAACATAAAATAAACACAAAGCCTATGATGAAACAATCGAGTTTTCATTTTAGGTATAAGCTGGCATCACTAAACTAGATTAGAACCAGCACCCTCCTTGTCCAGTTGCCCAAATCACCAAGCTACTTACGACTAATCAACTAGCGAGGACTGCAGACAAAAGAAGAAAACCCTTTTTTACATGGTAATAATGGTGACATTTTGCCCGGAAATGCACATATACTCCTCACCCCTTTTGCCTTTTGGGTATGAGGTATAAAAAGCAATGCCAGTCAAGAGCACACTTTACAGAATATGGAATAGGGGTAGGTCAAAGGGATTTTCAATGGGATATAGAGCAAGAAAGAGTGGGGAAGAGACAGAAGTAGAGAGAGACAGAGAGCGAGTGAGAGAGAGAGAGAGAGAGACAGATCTAAACAGTGCGACAATGCAACAGAACAATTTGCATGCCAACTGACGCGAATGCCAACTGAAAGCAGCCGACCACTGTTTCAGGTACCGTTGCCACTGCGGCTGCTGCTCCACCTGAAGCTGTGCCACAAAATGGCAACAAACCCCAAAAAATGGCCCTCTGTTGCAAGTACAAGTTACAACTTCATTATGCAGTTGCATTGTGCGGCAGGCAACAGCCAACAGCCAAACGCAACCTGCAGCGTGTGTCGCTTTATTAACATCTTGAATGTGCAGGTCACAGTGCAGGGCGGGGAAGGGGAAAGGGGGTGGGGTTTGAGTTGGGTGTGCCGCGGCTACTGCTGCAGCATTGCTGTGCCCCATCATTAAAATACAATTTTCTGTGTCAGGTTCAAGCTGCAGCGCACAAACGGACGCACTGCAAGAGAATAAGTGTGAGATACTGTGACAACGTGCATGTCTAAAGGACTACACGACTACGGGACTACAGGACTACAGGACTAAAGGACTACAAAGACAGCGGGAATGTAGCGATATTAGTGCATGTCCTTTTTTGGCACAGCTTTTGTTGCCGGACAGGCCAAACAGCAGACCCGACACCCTGGCAACGGGAACCAGGCGAACAACAAGGCCATTAAACATGAACCTCGTTACGGCGTCAATTTTGATGTTGATGTTGTTGTTGCTTAGCTTTTGTATGTGCCCTGCACTTGCTGGCCTCACTTAATGACTTTTGTGCATACACATACACACACACAACGCACACAAACACCTGCCTGACCTTGTTTAACAAGGCACACTCAAAGAAAAAAGTACTAAGCTCTAACTTGTACGGCATAGAATTCGGAGCTACTTATAGCTATATGTATAGAATATTTTAATTTTAGGAATTCTTTAGTGAAACATAAATAGAACTAGGTTTCAATTGAAATAATAATAAGCAAAGCCTAGAATTAAGTACAAAATGTAAATAACAAGAAATTTCATTCTTAAAATAGGCACAAAACGTTCGGAATGGGACAGCGCAACTTCTAGGACTACAATTTGTTCATTGTAATACATGGAAAACAAACCAACTGTTATCAAGTATTTTTAATTCAAAAATTAAATTTTTTAAGCACAAGAAACTTATTAAAAGAATTTGCATTATCGAAATAAAGCGTAATGCGTTTGAAACAGAAATACAACAATTATTCAAAAAAAAATTTCCTTCGAATTATTAAGCCCAAGAAACTTATAACAAGAATTTTGTATTCTCAAAACTATCGTAAAACGTTTGAAATGGAAATATAACAATTATTTAGATACAAATTTCCTAAGAATTATTAAGCACAAGAAACATTTTACAATAATTTGCATTCTCAGAACGTTCTTAAATAAAGTTCAGAGCTTCAGAGATCGAGACTAAATTGGGGTTTTCTCCGAGTGTATTTTCTCTCTGCTGCTGATGTTTTCGGGTGTTGCTGCTGCTGCTGCTGCATGCGGTGGCAAACGTGCTCCTTGTTGGGTTTGTGGTCTGCAGCAGACAGCCATCCACCCACACCTTTAGTAATAACCATTTTTCGGCAGCAATTAATTTCAAGTTTAACACGCAGCGTTGAGAATGTCCAACCCAGTGCTCACACCAGCCATAGTCCCCCCACTTGCAGGACAAACAAACAGCAGAGTCAAGCGAAACATTATTACATAATGTGGTTTGTCTGCCACAGGTTAGCAACTGCATCTGTGGCAACAACAGGCGCAAAGTCAACGCCAGTTGGCTGCACTGTGTAGTGGCAGCTGCAGGGGGCATGTGATGCTGCCTAAGTTGGCATGATTGTCTACGCAAAGCAAACGTAGCTGAGCCGCTACTTAAGCAACAGGACATAATCATGGCCCACCACATGTGTGCGGGTGCAAGCATTCAGTTTCAAGGACTTCGCAAATGCAAACAGGTGATGACAACGACGACAGCAACGATAAGCAAAATAATAACAAAACCCAGTCAGCGAGAGAAAAAGAGAAACAACAAAAGCAGCAAAGCCGATAACCAGAGAGAAACGCATAAGACGAGAGCGTGCGAGAGCGACCGCTCATTGACACAATTGCAGCGCAGGCGCTGGCTTAAATTCGAAATTCGAAAAGAAATTCCGATTCGCAGCACTCGGCTGCTTAAAAAGGCACGTCCTGGCTGCATGCTAAGCTCAGTCTAGTGCTGGATGTATGAACGCAAGGACACTCGTGCAGTGCGTACTCCAATCAAAAAGTGACTAAACAAATGTGAGGCCAAAAGCCTACGAGTTGCCAAAAACAAAAAGTAAAATAAATAATAAATAAAAACAAAGAAAATGTAAATTTAACTCAAAGTAAATTTTGGCCCAAAGCCTGAACTACATGTTTAATGCTGTGTCTAGTGAGGGTGTGTGTGCATGTGTGTGCGTGCGAGTGTTTTGTTATGATGCTTATGCCTGTCGCTTCTATTTTTTGTTGTTGTTGTTGCGTGTGGCAAGCAGCAAACGTCAAACTTTTTTGTGGCAGACATCAGGGCGTCAAGGAAGCTGTGACTTTTGTTGTTATTGCCTGGCAGCGCAGGATGTGCCAGCAGCTGAAGGCCTGACACGCTGCTGTGAACTCAGCTGGCACTATTTTCGTTTAGTCATTCATAAATTTATGTAGCATACTTTTGTGCGCTGCTAGTTTTAGTTCTTCCCATCTTTTTAGAGCTGCTGGCAAAAGACTCATATATTTAGCCAAGTTTTTCTTAGAGTTTGCTTGTGTGTGTAAAAAACCAGCTCATTTCCGCTGCATGTTATATACACACACACACACACACACACACACACACACACCGGAACACAAGCAACTAAACAACAGCGTATAAAGAAAATGTAACATTTAATACTTTAGACTTACTTATATTTGTTTATATAATTTTCATATTAGAAAAAAGGAAGATAAATTATTTATTAAATTTAAAAAGGAAGATGATTAGCAGGTTTATTTACCGTATTCACTTATTTAATAAAAATTAAAATCTAAAATATTTAAAATGAATATTTAAAAAGCACATTAAAACTGTGCTGCCTCCTAATTTTGGCATTCAGAGTAACTGCAACCTGCATTTAATTTTAGTGTTTAACATTTAAAGCAAACTGAGACAAATAAACAAAAC